CCCAAATTTTCCTCCCCAGGAGGAGCTGGAGCACCTGAACGAGGCCAACGCTGAGATCAACCGGGGAGAGCTCGAGCTCGACGTGAGTTTAACTGGTTTGAGCTGGGTTTAACTGGTTTGAACTGGGTTTAACTGGTTTGAGCTGGGTTTAACTGGTTTGAACGGGTTTGAACTGGTTTTAACTAACTGGTTTTTACGGGTTTGAACTGGTTTTAACTGGTTTGAACTAGTTTTAATTGGTTTTAATTAGTTTTAACTGGTTTTAACTGGTTTTAATAGATTTTAAATTATTTTAACTGGTTTGAACTGGTTTTAGTTGGTTTTAACTAACTGGTTTTTACTGGTTTAAGCTGGTTTGAACTGGGTTTAACTGGTTTTATTTGGTTTTAATGGGTTTTAACTGGTTTTAACTGGTTTTAAGGGGTTTGAACTGGGTTTAACTGGCTTGAACTGGTTTGAACTGATTTTAACTGGTTTTAACGGGTTTTAATGGGTTTGACTGGTTTGAACTGGTTTGAACTGGGTTTAACTGTTTTTTTTAATCCCAAACTGGTTTTAACTGGTTTGAACTGGTTTTAATGGGTTTGAACTGGGTTTAACTGGTTTGAAGTGGTTTAAACTGGTTTTAGTTGGTTCTTTTAAAATCCCAAACTGGTTTTAACTGGTTTTAATTGGTTTTAACTGTTTTGAACTGGTTTTAACTGGTTTAAACTGGTTTGAGCTGGTTCTAACTAGTTTGAGCTGGTTTTAACTGGTTTTGTTTGGTTTGAACTGGGTTTAACTGGTTTTAATCCGTTTTAACTGGTTTAAACTGTTTTTTCCCATTCCCTAACTGGTTTTAACTTGTTTTCCCAATCGCAAACTGGTTTTAACCGGTTTTTCCCAGTCCCAAACTGGTTTTAACTGTTTCAAACTGGTTTTAACTGGTTTTAACTGGTTTTAACTGGCTTAAACTGGTTTTAATTGGTTTTTCCCAATCCCTAACTGGTTTTAGCTGGTTTTTAACTGGTTTTAACAGACTTTTAACTGGTTTTAACTGGTTTTTCCCAATCCCAAACTGGTTTTAAGTGGTTTAAACTGGTTTTTAAGTGGTTTTAAGTGGTTTTAACTGGTTTTAACTGGTTTTAACTGGTTTTTCCCAGTCTAAAACTGGTTTTAACTGGTTTTTCCCAATTCCAAACTGTTATTTTCCAGTTCCAAACTGGTTTTAACTGGTTTTTAACTGGTTTTAACTGCTTTTTCCCAATCCCAAACTGGTTTATGGTCCTCGTTTCTCAATCCCCAACTGGTTTTAATCGGTCCAAACCAGTTAAAACCAGTTCTAAACCGTTTTAGGCCGCCCGTTGCCGGTACCGCCGCATCCTCTCGGACTCCGCCCGCAGATTGAACTCCCAGTCCAAACCAGTCCCAAACTGCTTTTAACTGGTTTGAACTGGTTTTAACTGGTTTTTCCCATTCCCAAACTGTTTTTTTTCAATCTCAAACTGGTTTTAATTG